TTAACACTGCTGCATTCCCAGGGCTCGAACTCGAGACCACTGGTTAAGCTGGAAGGCTCGAACTCGAGACCACTGGTTAAGCTGGAAGAGACCCAAGCCATCTCATCCAAGCGCTCTTGGGTTATAATAATTTTTTTAACTTACAACATATAACTACATTAAACATAAATATATCAATTGAGAAATAATTTTATTTTTCTAATAAATATTATTATTTTTTATTATTATAAAAATAATATAATCTATTTATTTTATATATACAATATTGATGTCAAATCGAAAATCATGAAAATATTATTAATTTGATATATTATATATGTAAAACCGATAAGAAATACAAAATTTATCAACTTTTAGATTACATTTATAATTCAATAGTTAATTGAAGGAAACAAATCAGGAATATATTAGTCACTTAGTGTCTCACTATGTAAAATTATAAAGTACTAGTACAACACCAGTGTATTACACGGGTGCTTGCTAATTTTTTTTTTATAAAATCTAAAATTAATGAGAAAAAGTAGTTTGAAAATTTAAATACCTTTTATAAGAATATATATATTATTATATATTTATTATGACACTTTTTATTTGTGCAACTTACTTGTGTTATATTATACTAATTTTTTTAACTTACAATATATAACTACATTACATATAAATATATCAATTGAGAAATAATTTTATTTTTCTAATGAATTTTAACAAATATTATTATTTATTATTATTATTAAGATTTATTTATTTCATATAAACAATATGGATGTCAAATCGAAGATAATCAAAAGATGATTAATCTGATATATTATTGATATAGCCATACTGTCGTGTAACGGTTCAGTAACCGTGGCATTGCCACAATTGGCTTATAACGGTTCATATCATCTAGTTCGAAACTGCCAAGTCGATTACCACACAGTCGACTCCGCCAGTAGAGTTTTCACGGTATTCAATCAAGAAGCCCGGTTCTCGACCGAGTCAACGTACACCTGTCGACTAGAACGAGTCGACCTCTGCCAAGATTGCGATCAGACGTATCAGAGTCCATTAACGGTGGGATGCGATCCAGTCGACTCGACTCAATACCTCAAGTCGACTGAAGGAGTCTTGCAGTTCGTGGTTCCCAATAGCTTTGACACACCTCAGCATATTGAAGAAGAAGTTAAGGATAAGAAGAAAGCTGAGGAAGGATCTAGATGCTGACTAGGAAGTAAGCAGAATATGAACCGACCGGGGTATTCTGGACATTTCCATTGAGTCGGCCGGGGCACTTTGGGGACTTCAGGTAAATATTGTACTTCTATAAAAAGGACTGAGGTAAGCCCAAAACCCTAACTCCCATTCATTCCATACCCTTTCCATTACTGCTGCTGCTCTCATAGCAGCTCTCATCATGTCTCTCATATACTGACTTGAGCGTCGGAGGCTCTACGCCGGAAACCCCCCCGGCGTTGAGTTCTTGCAGGTGTTCTTGCAGCTCAACAACAACGGTTCGAGCGCCATCACATCAGATCTAAGCTCATTCATACCGGTTCGTCCCAGATCCAGACGTTTTTTCATTGGACCGTTCCCAGATCTGAGAAGAAACCCATCATTTGGCGTCGTCTGTGGGGAGCTCTTGAAGGAATTAAGAGCTTTACACCTAGCTTGGATCTGTTTCCGATGGCTGAGAAGGAAGGAGTGCAGAAAAACTTGAACGAGGACTTCAGGGCAACATGGACGGACAAGCGACCTCCGCCGATTCCCAGCTTTAGACCACCGCTCCAGGTGCTGGGATTCCCACCTTTTGGGGCACACGCGCCGTCAGGAGGGCGTACGGGAGAAGAGACGCCTATTACCCCACCTAGAGATGTTAAACGGGCTAGCCCTAGCGGTTACGGGCTAGCCCTAGCGGGCTTC